CCAAAGCAGGCGGCTGCTGAACTTGCTCAGCGGCTGATTCCAGGAAGCCCGGGGCAGAGCAGCTCTGCCCCGGGCTTCCTGTAGTCAGCCGCTGGTCAGTTTCAACAGCAGCTGAATCTGGACGCCAGTTCCGACTTACATACAAATTCAACTTAAGAACAAACCTACAGTCCCTATCTTGTACGTAATCCGGGGACTGCCTGTACTTACACTTTCATAAAATTAAGACAAACTTACATTGTAGAAGCCCGGGGCAGAGCAGCTCTGCCCCGGGCTTCCTGTAGTCAGCCGCTGGTCAGTTTCAACAGCAGCTGAATCTGGACGCCAGTTCCGACTTACATACAAATTCAACTTAAGAACAAACCTACAGTCCCTATCTTGTACGTAATCCGGGGACTGCCTGTACTTACACTTTCATAAAATTAAGACAAACTTACATTGTAAGTATGATTTGAATAAAAATGTATAATTTCTTATCTTCATTGTTATGTTTTTCCATTAAAACTAGATTTTCATGAGTAGTACTGATGATTCTGAGACAATGAACATTGCTGGTACCAAGGAATAGAATGATAATGGCTTTCTGCTCCTTGATTTTTGTTTTAGTGTTAACTTGGTTTGGGAGCCAGAATGTGGCTTCTGATGCTTCAGCAGTTGTTAGAATCATACTTATAAACATGCCATGATGGTATCTGACATCAAAAAGAGTGTGAAAAGGAGACATGAGAGTGTAAATATCGTAACAAAATTACTTAGCTTTCCAGTATACAAATAATATGAATTTCCTATTGAGAGCATGTGGTTTTGTCACAACTTTCAAATGGGCTTTTAGCAAGTGTTGTTTTTTATAATCATCATCATCATCTTTTGAAATTTAAATACTTTAACATTTATTTTTCATTTTTACAGCACTGTCCATTCAACCTAATGACGCTTTGATGTATAAACTTAGAGCTGATGTTCGTGGTAAAATGGGTTTCAGTGAAGAAGCTATTGCTGATTACAAACAAGCAATCAGCATTCAAGAAATGATCGATGCAATGTGAAAAGATTCCAGTTCCTGCAAAACATGATAACCAGTTAGGTCTATTTATAGAGATTTATCTTATTTTAAATGAGAGATACTTGTTTAATATCTCAAATACTATTTAGAAAAATGTATTATGTTAGCAATAGGCTTGGTACAAAAGGTTAGTTTTGTCTATGAGAAAAATATTGTTATTCCTGTAATAACTCGTTTTCATTTTTAGATGAACTTCTGCACATATGTTATCTTCCTGCATAACTTCTTGCTTAATTCAGTGCAAAATTAAACCAAGCTATATAAGAAGAGAATGTTAACATTAAATATGTAATTTCACAAAGTCAACCTCAGATTTTCTTTATTCAGTCACACCAAATGGCAGCTGGAGAATGAAACAGGGACAAGAGAATAAATATAAATGTGGAAGGCCTCATCTTCATTAATTGTAATAGAGGAGGGAGCAAGCACCACGAAACATCAGTTATTTTCTCAGGTCCAATGTGATATTAAATGGCAAAGTAACCAATATTTAGAATTGGCTTATTTTTGTCCAATTCTTATTCTTCTCCTCCTATTTCAGTGAGAGAGAATACCTGAGCCTTTGTTGATTTCAGATCTTTTCTACCTTAGGCTAATATGGTCCACTTGCCATCTCTTAGGCCTCTTACATGTTTGCCCGAGAGTTGTCCCCTTTGAGCTTTTTACTGACACTGGACACCATCTATAAATTGTGATAAAACTTACAAACTGCACTTGTTAAATTTACAGTTTTTAACTTGCTGTTCTTTCTCTACACTAACTTAAAAATAGGCCTTCAGGATGCTGATGATAATCTATACAGACCTATCACAATCTTGTATATAGTTAAAAGGTGAGAGAACACAACAGCAACAGCAGTAGGATAACTGCTGCATCTCAATGAGGGTAGTGATGTCTGACTGCCATTCAGCAAATGGGCAGCAGGAGAAAGCGGAGAAATATATCCTTTCCTTCCCCAACCCCATTCCCACACAAGCAGTTTCTATGTGCATTATGGGCAGGGACACTGTGTGCAAAGTTCAAGAGCATCCAAGCCAGGCCCTCCTTTCCTCAGGGCCCAGGGATTATCTATCCCCTGCCAATTGACTCAAGCATCCCCCAATTTAAATATAAAATATAAAAAAATGGACAAGAAATAAATTTCACTTAAATACATTATACTAGGCATGCACTAGTACATTTCTTCAAAGTGAATTAAATAATAGATCACTATATTGGATTTTGAACCTTAAGAACGAGATTTAGAAGTTAGTTGAACAGAATTTTGCTTTGATCATGTTCATTGAAATTTGAAACTTAGGTATAATGAAATATCAACAGAAATAAAAAACAGTCAACCCTAAACCTCATACACTGAAACTATAAAATGTGGTCCATATCTAGTTATAATGTACCACTATATTCTATACAGCTAGGCACTCAGATATTACCATGCGGTGGATGGGATAAGAATCTTTGTTGAACGGAATAGAAATAAAACATTTGTTCAACCGGAAAACTTTAAGCAATTTCACAAGATTGAGTGGAGGTGAATTTTCAATGACGCAAATGGTAGTGAGGCACCTTATTCTCATTGATAGTCTTTGGGAGTTATGCATTTAAACCCCTTACTCGAAAAGTGCTATCAATTTTCCTTGTGAAACATGAATGAAGAAGGGAGCGTTTATGGTGAAGCTGATGATAAAATGCTAGTTCATGATTATAATTACATAGTCTTCTCTATGCAAAATAAATCACTCAATGGCAAGGAAATAATTTACATTAACATTCATAATAAGAAAAAAATAATTGACGAAACTTGAATTTATTATTTAATGGGTCACACAGTTCCATTTTCATTTCCTGACAACTCCCTATAGGTTTTTCATTGTTGACGCCACGGTAAAAAAGTCAAAACTACATTGCCTGAGACATTCCCTTTTTTGAATATGACATACAATGCTATTCACCACTTATGTCTACATAGAGCTTTTTTATTTGGTTTTTCCCTTAACTAAGCAATCTTTCTTTAGTAAATATCACATAGTGATGGCTAACTGGTATTATAGCTCTTTTCTCTAACTTTCTGCAGTTCTGACCATCTGGTGCACTATTAAAATTCTCACTTTATGATATTCTGATTTTTGAAAAATATAAATGACTGGGTATATCATAACTGAAGTCTATAAAATGTAGATAGGAACTCCCAAGAAATATATTGTTTTCTATTTCTTTGAATATTTAAGACTATTCATTATCAGTGGGAAATAGGTCAATGGAGGGATGATAGGAGTTACTACAGAGAACTTTCTGGGTGTCTGGCTGATGAGTCTTGCCCACATGCTCAGGGTTTAGCTGATCGCCATATTTGGGGTCGGGAAGGAATTTTCCTCCAGGGTAGATTGGCAGAGGCCCTGGAGGTTTTTCGCCTTGCTCTGTAGCATGGGGTACAGATCACAGCTAGAGGATTCTCTGCATCTTGGGGTCTTCAAAGTATTTGAAGGCTTCAATATCTGAGATATAGGTGAGAGGATTATTCTAGGAGGGGTGTGTGAGATTTTGTGGCCTGCACTGTGCAGGGGGTCAGACTAGATGATCATAATGGTCCCTTAAAGTCTATGAGTCTATGAGTGATATCAAACTAGTGATATCACACTACTGGATTTTAAAAACATTTAATTTTCAGAGAGAGATGGATAATTTTTTAGTATGATTGTATGATGGTGGTGGGGCAGAGATTAGCAGCCCTAAGGTCCCTTCTGGAAAGCTTTTTCTTAAATCTAAGAAAGGATATATCAGCAGAGAAGTAAAAGTGGTTGTCAGCCTACTTTATTAGACAAGGCAAAGTTCAAAGAGCAATTCCTGCCACCACGTATGCAGTAATAAATGAGAGAGAGGTGGTATTTCTACAACAGCCTGTAGAATCCTTAAGGGTATGTCTACACTTGCAGCCTAAATCGAACTAGGGCTGCAAATGTAGGCATTGGGAATTGCAAATCAAGCCTGGGATTTAAATGTCCCGCGCTTGATTTGCATCTTCCCGGCCGGGCGCCATTTTTTAAATTTAGAAGCCCAAAGTAACTGCCCGCGTCTATATGCAGCAGTGAAACCAACGTTCAAAATAAAGCCCTAGTTCGAACTACCTGCTAAACCTCATTGCAGGAGGAATAACAGGTAGTTCAAACTAGGGCTTTATTTCAAACGCCCCATTGGCAGATCCCTTATGCCTCCTGCAAGGGGGTTTACAGGATCTGTCGAAAAAGGCTTTCTTTCTCGACAGATCCCCCTCTAGACTGCTGTTTTTTGTGGACAAAGTGCTGAGTCAGCAAAACGCGGTGGCCATTTTTATGCAAATTAGGTGCGGGATATTTAAATCCCTGCCTGTTTAGCAATGTTGACCTGCCTAATCTGCATCTCTCTGCTGACGGAGGGATGCAGTCTAGACATACCCTCAATGATGTGATCAGGTTGTACCTGGCCCTGATATAGCTATATGGTGGAGGTGCATAAATGCAAGGCATTTTTGGATCCAGTGTGATTGTCTCCTCCTGCAAGCACCAGGAAAAACTCAGTTTTTGCATTCAAAGTGAAGGTTCAATGAGGGTGCTGTCCTGAATCTCTCCAGTGTACAGGAAATGTTGCAGCTTCTGAAACACACTCCCTGACAGTAATCTCTCTGGTACAGCACACCTCTGCATTGTAGCTAAAAGGCACAGTCTATTCTTGTATGCAGTTTGACATGGGGAAAAAATACGTTTTCTGCATACAGCAAGACCCATAACAGATGTTTGGGAGGTTCATTAATTAGAGACAAATGCTCAAATTCTTACTTAGATCTGACTCAGATCTTATTTGGGTAGACTAAAATCAATGTACATGTTGCTTAGGTAACAGCTGAGTAAGAATTTAAGTTGCACAACTTCTCTTCTCGTTCATTATTTGAGATCTAGTGCCCCTCACCTGTGGAACTTGAAGTGGTCCAGCATCGTCATTAAGACTCCAGGACTAGAGCTCTGCTCTTCAACTAAGGCTACCATATTTTCTGCCCCCAGCAGTGGAACAAGTTGATGGTTCAGTTTCTCCCAACCATTTAGTTTTAAAACCTATATTTGTATTTGTTATAATGGTATTGCAACTTACTATCTTTCTCCTCTGGTTTGGGTAATTGGAAGCATTGTAGTTTCAATCACCTGGATCTTCTGCAGGACAGTCTATGCTGAGCTCCTGTGTACCCACTCAGGGCACGTCTTCACTACCTGCTAGATCCATTGGGGATTGAATTATTGCAACTATATTTGATGCAATGAATGGACCACTGAGCAGTCTCCCATTGACTCCAGTACTCCACCAGGGTTGAAAAGCATAGGCTGAGTTGATGGGAGAGTGTCGACTTACCACAGTGAAGATACTACAGTAAGTAGACCTAAGTAATTTAGATTGAAGGCCCTCAATAGTGTGGACTAGGCCTCAGGCATGACAGAATTGTTCCGCAAACTCCTGATGTAAATCTAAGCAGTGTTCTCTACGTGAGGTAGCGCTTCCAGGCTCCACAGAGGGTGAATTATGCCCTTCCTGATGCCAGCCAGCTGATCCTTGTGCTTCCATTGGGTAGAGAATTGAGTCAGACTGGTGCATTGGGTTCCCACCTTGCCAAGGACCCGTGGCTCCCACACAGAATATCTCAGACAGAAGCTTCTGAGGACAGTCTAAGGATGAGGAGAAAGCTATCTGTCTAGTTTTAGAGACAAGTCCTGCATCAGATCTGGACTAGAGGGGGAAAGCCCTGAAAAGATTCACTTCTGTCAGATACTGAAGTGGATCTTAGCTCATTGAGGAAAGAAATAGGGCTCCTACATAGTTCCCTTTCTGTCCCATGTGAACCAGGGGACTGTCAATATACTTTGGGATAAGTCTTACAAATCCCACAGATTCCACAAAAGGCAAAAAGCAAAGTGTGTCCTTCTTCCAGCAGTGATGATTATTGTTCTTGAACAAATGAAGATGAAAATGAGGGATCAACTCCCTTCTTCTTCCAGGAACATCCCCGGGGTTGTTCCACCTGTTGAAGCAAAAGACTTCCATGTGTTTAGGTGGCTAAGAAACAGCTTTATTGATCAATAAGGCACAAAGTGAGCCAAACGTGACCCCAGCAGAGCTGGGCCCAGTAAGGCTGTTCAACACAATCAATCCTAGTATTTTATACCCTTACCCAAACAAGTCTGACGTCAGGGCAAGAAATCAAAGCGAACTTCAAAAAGAAACTACTATCAGGAAAGAAAGAAACAGGTTTTAGGGAGTGAGAGTTTCAACTCAGAATAGTTCATTAACACATTCCAACAGCCCAT